TATTACTTGTGTGAATGAAACAAAGCACAATTCCGGGTCTGTGTTTGATGAGGAAACAAAGAGTAAAATGGGCCCTTTAAACTAATAAAAGAAGCATTTCAGAACTACTTATTTACAGGGGAAAATGTATTATATTATTATCATAAATGCAGCCTTAGCCTTTTGCCAAATTTCGATCAGACTTTATTGGTATATTGTGTAGCTCTAGTTCAGGGGTGTCGAACTCATTTTGGTCCGGGGGCCGTATCCTAACCGACTTTGATCCCAAAGTGTCCGGATCAGAAAACTCATGTCATATAAACCCCAAAAATAACAATAAGTTCAAATATTTGTGCAGAGAAACACAAATCTATTACAGAAATATTTTTTAATTGATGAACTCTTTCTTATTATATGTTTATAATATTATGAACAACCTGAAACTTTAAGAAAAATACAATTTCAACACAAAGTTTTAACAGGAACTTGTATAAACAGGAATAAGTCAATTTTTGTTGTAAAATCCTGCACTCGGCTCCACTTTTCTCATGTTGGACATTTTTCTGATGAGGGTGTCACGGTCGACAGTCAAAACGATCGTCCTTTTAAGAGCGTTTGGAAAGAGACAAGTCTTCATTTGTGCTGCTCTGGTGGAGGGGGCCACGTACAGAGACGCTGGAGACGCTGCTGTGATAAACACCACAGAAAATTAACAAGATTTTAATAAAAAATATAATTAAAATATTTTAGTAGAAAATCAGCCGAGGGCCAGATTAAAGGTCTTGGAGGGCCGGATCTGGCCCCCGGGCCGCATGTTTGACACCTGTGCTCTAGTGTTTTTGTTTCAGACCTGTTGTGTTTCTCCTTTGCTTCTCACATTGCTTTTCTCTTGTGTCTGCTGCTCCAGGGGCCTCTTTGGGTAAGACCTGGTCACTCGCCGAAAACACGAGACTCATTTGTAGATCTTCTCAACCTGATTTCATCCCAACCGACACCATTCTGTAGTCTTTGTGTCTCTTGCTGTGCTGTTCATGTTTTTCAATCAATCTCATGAAATCACACTACTCTTTTCTACGTGTAATAACAACTTGTTCAGCCTTTGTGGTCAGTAAACTGTGTTAAACTGTTCAAACCTCCAAAACTCCAGCTCACCCCATCCCCTCTCTTCTTATAATATCTGGGTTTCACTCGACCATGTTTAGACTCGGTCTTGTCTTGGTCTTGAAGGCGCTTGGACTCGGTCTTGAGTTCTGACACTCAACGAGTGATAAAAGGAGATAGATTTATAAAAATATTTATATATATGTGCCAAAATAACCGTAAAATATAAATTAATGTAAAAAATGACAAAGATGGTCTTGATTTGGACTCGATGGCCCGTGGTCTTGTTCTTGTCTCGGTCTCGACCCTCAGAGGTCTTGGTCTTGTCCTGGTCTTGGGACCCTGTGGTCTTGGACAGATCTTGGTCTTGATTAGTGCGGTCTTGACTACAACAGTATAGACGAGTTTCAGCTGACGTCATTGTTATTAAAAGCCCGCGTTGCTGCTGGGAAATATTTTGGTCAGAGGCAAGAAACACGGTAGCGTCAAACACAGTGCGTAACCTCGTGTATTTATCCCCGATAATGGTAAATTCCTGCTGCATTATCGGATGCACAAATTAGAAGCGCGGAAGAAGGAAAATGTCTTTTTCGTATTCTGAGTGAAAAGAACCACTGACGGTGAATTAAACGACTTTCAAACATCTGCAGAGCAAACGTAGAAGATCCTAACAAACCGTGGACTCCAACAAGTTCAACAACACATCGAGACTCTTGGAGGTTTTCATCTTTTCTGCTGTGAACGGCCCAGGAGTTTCCACCAAGTCATTGTGGATATTCGACCAAGTGAATATTTGTCCAGGTAGTTGGCGATTCTGACCAGAAATTTGGTTTAATCCACCTTTTGTCGGGGTTGAAAAGGGTGATTTGTCGTCCGTCGATGCTTATGACCAGTTTCTGGTCAAATGGTCTTGTGTCCTCTGCCGTTAGAGTGGATAAATAACCGGGATCAATACCCTTTACGTGCTTTCTCGCTCCGTCCGTCGTGTTGAATTAGTGTTTATTGCTGCTGACCAAAATAATTCCCAGCATGCAACGCGCGCTTTTGTCAACAATGAAAATCGCCTATAGGAGCTGAACGCCATGGGTGACACCGCACTCCCATAGTCCTCTTCTTTACACAGTCTGTGGGTAATAAAACGGGTCAAATGTCGACAATCTCTTTTTTCTTTGGGGATCAAGTGAAGGATAAAACATAAAATCATTCACAAAACTATTCTTTACCCAGAGCGTCTTTATCCTTCTTATGCAGATTGGGGGCTGCCCGGCGCTCTAACGTAAAGGCTGATGTTTGCATTTCCCCCGAGCGCTCGTCTCCCGTCTGTCTGGATCTGAACGGCCTTAACCACGTGACGCCGCTAATGCTAATTCATGCTAATGTATTCCTGAGCTAAAAGCGGCGAGCCAGTGAAACGTCCATGTGCCAGTCAAAACAAGCTGCAAAGAAACACTGCAGAAATCTCATGTTATTTGTGACGAGCAGGTCTGCATTATTTGGTCCAAACTAGTTTAATCGTTATCTTAAATTGGTAACACTTTATAATAACTACACCCTATTTAGCCTTAATAAAGCATGAACAAAGACTTAAAGGTTGTATAGAGGATTTTTTTAAGGGAAGAGAAATACAGCGACAGTCCTTGTGCGCGTTCAGAATTACTGTTGAAGTTTCCTGTCTAGAAGTAATTCAGCGACCGACGCGTCAGTTTTTAGACCCTTCGTCTGCTTCGGTCGCGCCATCGCTGGACGAGATCTCCAAGAATCACCTCAGTTTGGCTTTGCTCCTTTTCCTCTTCTCTTCTTCTTCTTTCGGCGACCTCAAAAACGGACTTTCTTTTGCGGCGAACCGGTCGTGGATTCTCGTCCGCCGTCGCGACAAACTTTGTGTGAAATGCGAGGAAGCGACAGTTCGAAAAAGCCTCTAAGAACCGCCGCGTAAACCACGTAATCCCCGCGCTCCGACGAGTCAGTTATACTAGGGAGTTTGATTGACAACCTAACAGCCAATAGAAAATGAGGGAGCCTCGTTTTCTATTGGCTGATGTTTATCTGGCCTCAACACGTCCACAGTTGATAGATTTTCGTTCTTTTTTTTTTTTGGTCATCATAATTACAAAGTTGCTGCGTCTCTGTAATGGTATTTTAATCTTTCACTGACAGTTTGAAACAAAAAAAAAATCCTCCATACAACCTTTAATTAATAATGATTCACACTTAGTAAATGCTTAATAAAGCATCATTCGTCTTCACTTTAGAAAAACTCTCAGAAAGACTTAACTAACAGATAACAGCTGCCTGAATTATCATTGCATTACATTATTAGTAAATCATTCTCTCATAGTTCAGTAATCATTAATAAATGCTCAAATGGTTAGTTCATGAGTAATTAAGTATGAAATAATTATGAGTAACTATTTACAGCACAGGCGAATGAAGTGCAAGTGCTAATTCAGGTAGTAATTAAGTAGTTACTAAGCGTGAATCATTATTAATTAAGTCTTTGTTCATGCTTTATTAAGGCTAAATAAGGTGTAGTTATTATAAAGTGTTACTCTTAAATTAAAGGGACACTAAACACCACGATCATGTTTTTCGATCGATTATCTGTGTAAATGAGTCTAAAATAGAAGTGTATCTCTATCGTTGGCGTTATTTTGGCATTTTAGTGCATATGTGTTAAAAATGGGACTTTTAGGTCAAATCTGTGTCTATAACGGACTCTTTAGGATCAACTACGGACAGGCAGTGCACAAAAAAATTCAGAATTTCAGCCGATCTGTAATGATATTTGTGCAATGCATGCGACATTCCAACTGCATACTTATAGTTTTACATTATATTCATTTCAGAGTGTTGTGTTTGCCATTCTGTTGTCTTGTAATTATGAAGATGAATTAGACTTGACCCTGCATCGTGTGAGAAAGGGTTAATACATGTTAAAAATACGTGGATGTTCATAAATAATTATATATGAACCAACAAAACAGACAAAAAATAGGTGATATAGAAAGTCAGACTTCTTGTTTATAGGTTCCTATTGTGAACTTCTGTTTATTTATACCAGGGGTGTCAAACTCATTTTGGTCCGGGGGCCGTATCCAACCGACTTTGATCCCAAAGTGTCCGGATCAGAAAATTCATGTCATATAAACCCCAAAAATAACAATAAGTTTAAATATTTGTGCAGAGAAACACAAATCTATTACAGAAATCTTTTTTAATTGATGAACTCTTTCTTTTACAAAATATTATAATATTATGAACAACCTGAAACTTTAAGAAAAATACAATTTCAACGCAATGTTTTAACAGGAACTTGTTTAACATGAACTTATATAAACAGGAATAAGTTAATTTTAGTTGTAAAATCCTGCACTCAGCTCCACTTTTCTCATGTTGGACATTTTTCTGATGAGGGTGTCACGGTCAACAGTCAAAACGATCGTCCTTTAAGAGCGTTTGGAAAGAGACAAGTCTTCATTTGTGCTGCTCTGGTGGGAGGGGCCACGTACAGAGACGCTGGAGACGCTGCTGTGATAAACACCACAGAAAATTAACAAGATTTTAATAGAAAATATAATTAAAATATTTTAGTAGAAAATCAGCCGAGGGCCAGATTAAAAGTCTTGGAGGGCCGGATCTGGCCCCCGGGCCGCATGTTTGACACCTTTGATTTCATACTGACAGAGAAGATGCCAGACTTTGGGACAGTTTTTTTTTTTTTCAATGTGGATAGGAACCAAACAAACCAGGACTAAATATCTGCATTTTGACAATCCAAGGCCAATTCTACCAGAGGATCCAATTAATTATATGAATTATATGAATTGTAGAATGTCGGGATTTCACTTGAACCTAACCCTCTTTTTTTTCCTCTCTTTCTCCGTCCCCTTCCCTCTCCTCCTTCCTCCTCTGTCCTTTAGCGACGGGGGCCTGGGACAGTCTCAGGACGACAGTATTGTGGGGACCAAACAGTGCAGACACAGTGTGGCCATAATGCCCATCCCCGGGAACCTGTCCTCCAGCAGCCCGGACCTGTTCCAGCCCAACTCCAGTGTGCTCGACTTCTCCAACCCCGCTGGTAACTACACACACACACACACACACACACACACACACACACACACACACACACACACACACACTACACACACACACACACACACACTCACACACACACACACACACACACACACACACACACACTCACACACACACACACACACACACACACACGCCCAAACTCCAGTGTGCTCGACTTCTCCAACCCCGCTGGTAACTATCCAATCCAATCCAATCCACTTTATTTCTATAGCACATTTCACAAACAAACTGTTCCAAAGTGCTGCACAAATACATAAAAAATAACAACAATAAGATGATAAAGTAAATTACTAAAATAATACTAGTCTTAAAGTAAGTAGTAGTAGTAAAATAATATAAAACCAGTAAAATAAAAATAAAACTATATCACAGAATAAAATAAATAAACCAATAAATAAATTAAATCAGTAAAACCAATAAAAACACATAAAATAAATAAAAGACACAGAGGACCACACGACTCACGCGGTGTTAAAAGCCAGAGAATAAAAGTGGGTCTTCAGACGAGATTAAAACTCTCCCGCTGTGGAAGCTGCTCCAACGTGAAGCAGCAGATCGTTCCAGAGTTTAGGGTCGACCACAGAGAAGCTCCTGTCCTCCTGGTTTTAAGTCTCGTCTTAGGCCCTGAGCTGGAGCTGGACCTCGGACCTCAGAGCGCAGGGAGATAAATTTGGATGAGGTCCGAGACGTACAGTGGAGCCAAGTCCATTCAAAGCTTTAAAAACAAACAATAAAATCTTAAAATCTATTCTAAAATGAACAGTGAGCCAGTGCAAAGACGCGAGGATTGGGGTGATGTGCTCTTCTCTCCCTTTTTTTCCTGGTAAAAAGTCGCGCTGCAGAATTTTGACTCACTGTAGTCGGTAAAGTGCGTTTTGCGAAATGCCGGAATAAAGTGCATTACAGTCGTCCAGGCGTGATGAAATAAAAGCCTGCATAACTTGTTCAAATAACTACACACACACACACACTCACTTTTTTATTTTTCATTCTGTTGTCTTGTAATTAAACACTAGATGAATTAGAATTGACGCTGCATCTTGTAAAATACCAAATAATAGCCTGGGCGTTTATTTCTTTCAGTCACTTAACAGACCAGGCATTTATTTGAGACCGGGCGGCAATTTGGGGAAGGCGATTAATTCCTTCCTCGCAAAAGTCTCGCTCAACAAAACTGGGAAAATATGGCACTCAAATTTTTTTAACCGCTATGTAAATTACAGTTTTTTTGCCGTTATACGATGGCCTGGCGACTACGCTACTACTACTGTTTACTGGCACGATTCCTGCCTTTTCTCGCCCCTTTGCCACAACTTTCCTCTTACGCCGCAGCAGCTACGATCACATTGCTCGTTCCTCCGAATCGCCAAAGTGAAGTAACATTACCAAACGTCCTAAAAACTGCTTCCATTTCCTGGCCGCTATGTTCCGCCATCTTTCTTTTTTTTTTTACGTCATTTTGAAATAGGAATATCACAAAAACGTCATCTGTTCCTCCAGTTTTTCAGTAAAGTTGACGCTGATGGAACAGTGCAGAAAACAGAGCCTGTCCATTCAGTCACACAAACAGTCTGGTGTCGGCAGGACTGCGTCTGTAAACTAGAGCTGCGTATCGTTAAGAAGTTGCTGATACAATACATACCTCGACCTGATTTTAGACCTGGTTTTAGACCTGGTTTAGTCCTGGTTTAGTCCTGGTTTAGTCCTGATTTAGATATGGTTTAGCTCTGGTTTGGACCTGGTTTAGACCTGGTTTTAGACCTGGTTTTAGACCTGGTTTACCTGGTTTAGACCTGATTTAGACCTGGTTTAGACTAGACCTGGTTTAGACCTGGTTTGGACCTGGTTTAGCCCTGGTTTGGACCTGGTTAGACCTGGTTTTAGACCTTTTTTTGTCCTGGTTTAGACCTGATTTAGTCCTGGTTTAGACCTGATTTAGACCTGGTTTTAGACCTGGTTTTAGACCTGTTTTAGACCTGGTTTTAGACCTGGTTTAGACCTGGTTTTAGACCTGGTTTTAGACCTGGTTTAGACCTGGTTTAGACCTGTTTTAGACCTGGTTTAGACCTGGTTTTAGACCTGGTTTAGACCTGGTTTAGACCTGTTTAGACCTGGTTTGGACCTGTTTAGACCTGGTTTAGACCTGGTTTAGTCCTGTTTTAGACCTGTTTAGTTTAGACCTGTTTTAGACCTGTTTTAGACCTGGTTTAGACCTGGTTTTAGACCTGATTTAGACCTGGTTTAGACCTGGTTTAGACCTGGTTTGGACCTGGTTTAGTGTCCAGCAATGAGTGGAATTACCAAGAAAAAAAAAAAAAAAAAAGGGGGTTTAGCCCAAAATGTGAAAACAGAAAAATCCCGCCGCGTAATCCATTTATTTCAACAAAGTAACTGTAATCCAATTATCACTGAAACAGTAACTGTAACTGAATACAGTTACTCATAATTTGTACTCTGATTACATAACTCTGGTACATGTAATCTGTTACTCCCCGACACTGAATATTATACTGTGGATAAAAGAAAATTCCTGAATTCACTCTTGTTTGGTGATGGTGTCACTAATCGCCGTGAATAATCGTGAAACGGACAAAATATTTCTAACTCTGTTGCTCTTTTGTGGTGTGTAAACTCCCCAAACTGCAAGAACCTGGAATAGAAAATTCAGTGATTTATGCCGCTGCCCGTTTCTGACGCACACAAACGACCCTGGACCTGCTCGTGGATTCAGGGGGCGTTTTTACAAATCACCGGTGCCGTTAAACTATTTCTAACCCGGACTTTATGGATTACAGCCAAGACCTTAACATTAACATCCTTACATTTTTATAATCTTTCAACTTTAAATAACTTCGCCGACACTTTCGAACAGAAATTGGACGTTTTCGCCTCCCTTTTCGTATATGATTTGCCAAAGGCTGCGATCCGTCACCAGTTTAATAATGCCTGAAAAAGCATATAGTGTAATAAATAGATCTGCAGTTCTCATCAATGGAGGATGTGAGGTGCTGTTTTTCATCTTTATTCTCAAGACGCTAAAATTAAATGTCAACTCAGCCGTATTTTCGAGGGGTTTGAGACACTTTTGGTGCAGTGAAATGACTTTACTGCGGAAGATTTTAAGAGGAGTCTAATTATTTAACCCCTTTTATGCAGAATGTTGCATCTAAAATGAGTTTAAAGCTGCACTGTGTAACTTTTCTGGGGTCAGGCAAGCAGCCCACTCCACCGGGCACAGTTACAGGTCTGATCTGTGGAGATGCAAGCTCGCTCACTGTAAGAATGCATCGTTTAGTAAATAAAACGCCTGCAATTTTGGATCACGCAAGACAAATACGTTTAATCCCATACTGTGGAACATTTCAGGTGAAGCAATAGCATCTCCATGGAGACAAGCAGGTGACTGACCTCCCTGTAGAAAAGTTACATATTGCGTCTTTACAGTTGCAAGTGCCAAATACATATGCATGGATTTGACATTAAAATTCATTGTCATATTGTAATTAAGTATTTTTTACCTTTCAATTTCACTGTCACTACTTTCTTGTATCTTTCTCTTATTAAATTAAACTTAAGATGCTCAAAAACACAAAATGGATTTAAATGGTACAATTTTAGGAGCTTGTGATCAGTCCCAGCGTTCATGGTCCTGTTCAGAAGTTTGATTTTAGAAGTATTCGGAAGAAAAAAGCGGCAAATTATGTAAAATCATGCACCTTCTACTTGCTTGCACAATTTTCCCTCCGTTACTGTTAGGTTTATCTAAACATTGTAAACAAGAAGAAAGACAAGAGATTAATGCAGTTTTACTCGCGAGGAGAACGGGCAGAGAGTGGGCATCAAAACCAACAGTCTCCACACGTTCTGATGCCTCAAGGCTGTTCTCCTCTTTTTATTTCATTAGGAGGCCCAAGTTACAGAACGATAATTCTCAAGGGGAAGGGGAAACAGCAAAGACATAATAAGAAACTGGTGCAGCTAAGCATAGTATAAACACATAAAACATGATTAACAATCAGGAGGTGCCTTAGGTTTGGTCAGACACCATCATAACTCTTGCATGTGTGACAGTGGGAGTTGGCTTCATGTGAGGAATCATCTCGAGGTTCACTAGAGCGACAGGACACTGCACACAGTTGTCAAACACACAGAGGTTATTCATTTTCATACAAGTGATTGGTACATTATAAATCAAAGAATTGTAGTACATAAATGGTTAACTCATAGGCCTAGAATATCACACAAGTATTTAGCAAATATGGGATAATAAAATTATTCTGACAGTTACCATGACCTTTCTTAATAAAAAATCTCATGAGTCAAAAAGTAAGAGGTTTTTCATCCTAATCTTGTACCATATGGTAGAAAACTATATGAAGCAAATATTCAAACCAGTTTGTTAAGGATATGTAAGTGAGAACCAAGAGTTATCACTGTTTGGATTTATTGCCCAAAAAGTGCTGCATATTTCATTCCCTCCGTTACCGACATGAGTTTTAACATTTTTTATCAACAACTTGAAAGAATCTCACAGGTTTAACTTGACCCTGTTGGAGTGTAACTCTTTCCTACATTCTGATACTTTACTTATTTCAATAGTTCCTCTAGTTTCTGAATAAGAGTCATTTGAATGTCAAAAATCTGCCCCTGTTTCCCTCCGTTAACACTTGACCGGACCCGTATCTTAAATTTTGACCAAGCCTTTTTGCTGGTTATGCGAATATAAACGTCAGATTCGGTCTAATTTGATTAACAGAGCTTCAGACAGGGCAGTGCTTTCAGTTAGCTTTACACACCTATAGGGAATGTACCACGTCACATCACAACGGTGCAGAATCCTGACAGTTTAAACCGAGCTGGAGGAAAATAAAAATACTCAGAACATGAACAGTCTATTGTGTTATTCAACGTGACTCTTTCCTTTAATTTCTCCTCTGCTTGTGTCTCTCTTTTTCTCATTTTCCTGCTCTCGCTTAA